AAGCGCCTTACAGGTTTCAGAGGAATGTTTGGGGCTTCTTACGTGGTAACAGCTAGCAGCTTCAACATCGTGGCCCTTAGGATATGGAAATTCTTTTCTTAGATCATCCTGGCAAGCTTTGTCCTACAATCAGCTGATCAGGCTCCTACTGTTACAATCTTGCTTCCATGTGGTTAAATTCGCTTCATCGAGCCCTTCACGACTTAATTTCATGTTTGTGAAAATGCTTAAAATGTAGATGAAAATACAAAAAGGCAAAAATGCAAAATGCAAGAATGCATGAAATGTTCGAGGCATTGATCCAGAAAAGTGTCCATTATCATAAATAATCCTTATTCAGACAAAAATGTTTTATCTTGTAAGAGACATAAAAATAATAAAAGGTATGTTCGGACTAAATCTTCTAGACATCCATCCGAGATACTTTCTTCCATGACTCGACTGCTTCTTTGATCATCTTCTTATAACTGTCACCGTGATACATAAACTCTGATATAGATAATCCATATGTTGCTGGGACAAACTGATGTGCCCCATACTGTCTAAGTGCCAACAAAGGAGCATACCCAACTGTACCTCAAAGTCCAAATAGGGTCATAGTGTCAGAATTCCCACACTTGAAAAGAACATCACTGAGGAACAACCAGGGGGCTCTCCAGGTAATATCCCGGTCCTGTAGATGAGTGAAGACTTTCATCCATTTCTCTTTTGAAGCGCCTTCATATCCTGTCATGGTGATGAACTCTCTCAAAGGTGAATACGTAGTGTTAAATCTACAGTAGGCAACCCCATTAGTCTTCTAGAAGTGGATGTGAATCCAGACTTGAATGAATTGAACACATCCAATGAATCTACCTCCGCCAGCTCTTCGGCAATGGTTGAGAGACCAAAAGGTCTCGGCTGAGATGGTCGGTGCTGGGTTGACTCGTTTCGGAAGTTGCTCAAACAGTTCCACCACAGCTGCGTCAATGCATCCCAAAACCTTCGGAAAGATGATCAAGCCATACAGACCTAGTGCAAAAAGGTCTATAGTCTTCCATTCATCAGGGTGGTCCTTCATTAGTTCCCTTATGTGGATCCACTCAATTCCTTGCCCGTTACCTTTGTTTCGGAGTCGATCAGTCACCCATTTTTCATCAACTCCTGCAATCTTAGCCAGTCCGTTCTTGAAAGGCTGACTATTGATGTGTTTGATGTAGGCTCACTCCAGTTTAATGCTTTCACAGTACAATAGTGTAGTATACTCCTCGATGGTAGGTACCATGTCCTCCTGGTTAAAAGTGAAGCAACTGTATCCCAGGTTCCAAAATTGAACCAAGACTCTGATTAAGGGCTCATTGGTCTTAACATGAAGCAAAAGTGCAATGTCACCATACCGCTGATTGAACTTCTATTTCCGATCATTCTTCCAACTATCTCAGATGTCTCGAAGTTCTTGCACATTATTCTGTTTTAAACTGATAGAGGCGTAGCTAACTAGCTCTGACACATAGCTTCCTTGAAGACTGTCTCCATTTTCCTTCTGAGTCTTCTCGGACCATAGTCGTACCTCGGGGTTTTTAATCTCTTGTATTACAACACCTTTGTCCATGGATTCAGATTATTCGAGTTTTAACAAACACGTTTTAGTGGATCAATGAACTCTTTTATGATGCAAGTGATGAAAATAAAATAAAATAAAATAAAATAAAGATGAAAAGAGTTAGTGAGGTGAAAAAAATAATAAAAAAAGATCATAAAAATGAAAGTCCTACCCCACATGATATCTACCCCACATGCTTATTATTCCTACCCGGACATGATCTCTATCCCGCATGCTAATCTCAAACAAATCCTAACCGCATATTTGTCTAGTTCGCATGCTTTGAACAGAAAGTAAGGCATGAAATAAAATCAAAGTAGTCTAAGGTTTGGAATGAGGTTTTGGGGTGGGCTCTAATTCTCCATCGTCTTCCGGTTTAGGTTCTAAAAAAATGGTACCCGAGTTCTCATTGCAGGTGCCCCTTGGGCTTGCCAGACCCTTAGTCCAAAGCCTATTACAAGCTTGTGTGGACTAAGTTAAACTCGAGAGGACACATTCCCTTATGTCTATGCGGAGAATAAATTCACACGAAGACATAAGGTATATGAATCCCGAAGGCTACTTGCTAGGCATATGCGGTGAATAAATTCACACGAATGCGTCGCTTTCACCCCCATTTAAAATGGGTTCAGAGCTCGGGTTTAGAGCTTTAGATGAAAAAAGACTTTAAGGGCTGAAATCATTGAGAAAACGGTTATTACAACTATTTACTCGAAAAAAATATAATCAAAAGTAAGCAATAAGGATCGAAAGGTTACCTTAAAATTTAAACTTACCATTTTCGTTAAAAAGACAACTGGAAATTACCTTAGCCTGACTCACTTACCTGTGTCCCCAGCGGAGTCGCCAAGCTGTCGCAACCGTCTTTCGGTTGGGCCCCAGAATTGGGCTTCGACTTGAAAAATGTGGATTGGAGTCGCCACCGATCATTTATTTAAAAATAAATGGGTTGATCGGATACCCTATTTCTTACCTGATCCGCGTCTTACCAGAAATATGTCGGGCTCGGGAGTCGGTTACGGTCAAGGAAGGATTAGCACCCTTGAACCGCCCTTTCGGTACTACGTAATTTCCAGTTGTCTTAATTAAGAAAAATGACAAGTTAAATTTAAAGGTAAAGTTTCGATCCTAATTACTTACCCTTGATTGATTTGAAAAAAAAATCGAGAAATGTGTTAGATAAACAAGGTAAAGAAAATAAATAAGATACAAGGAAAAAATAAAATAAATAAGTAAGATAAGAAAAAAAAATAGTAAAGTAATAATTGTATATAGTAATATTTGTAAAAAAGAAATATATATATATATATCAAAGTATTAATAAAATAAATAAGCTATATATGTACACCAAATACTTAAAAATAGAAAAGATACCCTCTCAATTCATCGAAAGTGGGGGCTTTAGTAAGAAATAAGACAAAAAATGGACCCTCTAGGTTAGTAGTATATAATATAATGTTTAATAATAATAATAATAAAGACACAAGGTTTTTTTTAAAAAAATAATAATATAATAATAATGAATAAAAAAATAAAAATAATAAAAAATAATATAAATATATAAAATTATAAGATATATTAAATAAACAAATAAATAATCAAATAAAAATAATTAAGAATATATATATTTAATAATATGTATATAAATAAACTATTAAAAGTATAAAGAATATATACGACTAGATAAAGATAATTACAATATATATATATAGTAATATTAGACTTATAAGTAAAATATTAAAGAAATATATATATAATAATAATAATAAAATATAGTAAAAAAATCAAATGAAAATAATTTAATATATATACATACATAATAATAACATGAATAATAAAAATAAATGAATAAAATATCCATATAATAAATAAAGGGACTAATATAGATTTTTAAAAAGCTATTCCCCTCCTTTAACCGAAAATCAAACCGGATTTTAAAAATAAGCCTCGGGGTAGATCTAGGTTCGAAGCTTCGAAACCCCACCCATTTTGGTCATCGGCACAACCCACGTTTTGGGTTATTCGAATCAAATCTCAAGAAAAATAACGTGCACATGCAAAAGAAAGAAAAAAGAAAATGTTACCTTTTATTTCCTTTTCGAATCCTTTACAATAGTTTTGCCTTTGTATATTCCCGTGCTTTCCTCTATGTTTTGTGTGTAAATCCTGTCTTCAAATGGTGAGTTACAATGGCTATTTATAGTGCTTGTAGATCCTATCTTTAGGAATTTAAATAATAGTAGAACTCTATCTTATTTTTTGAATCCTAGCAAAATTCTATCCTATCTTTAGGAGTTTGAATTCTAGTAGGACGAAAAGGTGTGTTGACACTTTGACTAATGATTTAACCAAAGCAATAGTTGCCCAAACCAAGGTTTTCTTTTTTTAGGTGTTTGTAAATTATACACGTGGCTTGTTGAGCTTCAATATCGGTCTGCGTTTTTGTTTTTTTACTCATCATTGTCCGTATTATTCACGTACTAACATGAAAGCCCACGGATTCACTGATGACACGTGTTCCTATCATAGTTTCTTTTACATATAATTTTAGAAAATAAAATTACTCTCGACGTTTGTACAAATAATTATTTTTTTGAGTATTTAAACTTTTAATATTTTAATTTTGGTCAAAACAAATTTTGTTAGATGAAAATCGTTAATAATAATCAACGCATGTTGTTGTCATAATATTTTTCACATGTGTCTAATTATTATCATGATGCATCATCTAAAGTATCACATTATCTAAAGTGGTGATGTGTTATATTCCACATCAACAATTAAACGTACATAAAAATATTATATCATTAATATGTGTTGATTGTTAATTAATTAATGGTTTTCATCCAACATAGTTATTTTGATCATAAATTAAAATGTTGGGTTAAAATACTAAAAAAATGATAGGAGACAAAGTGAACATTTATTTAAATATTAAGGGTAATTTTATCATTATATTTTATCGAAAAATTTCTTAATGTTTGATTAAATATAGGGCATGATGTGGTAAATATAAAAGTTTAAATTCCTCACCATAACATTAACATAGACAAATGACATTAAAAAAATTGCAAGTTTGTAGCTATAATCGCTTCCTTAAGAGTAGGAAGATACATGAACTCTAATTCTAATATTAGTACACAATAAGAAAGTGCATAGCAAAATTCCATGGAGAACACTATAAGCACTAAAAAAAATCAAAATTAAACAATTAATGACATCATTAACCGTAAAGTAGTACCAATTCAACTATGGCTTCCCCCCAAGCAAGTAGACTGAATGTGATCTCCAGATTTTTCAAGCAAAGCAAAACCATTTCTCTGCATTTGGGGTTGAAACAAGACAAGTCTGTAATGAAAAATGATCGAGTAAACCCCGAACAAATCATCGGATTTATGGAGAGCTTAAGCTAACCTTAATGGAATGTTTATGTTCTCTCTTCTCCTTGTTCTGTGATTTTGGACTTTCAGTGGGGACAACTGTAACCCTGCCACCGGTTTTGTTCTTTGATCGTGCGATGCAGACGGTTTTGGACAGCGGTGGGAAGTTCTTCATGGTTGAAGGGATGCCACCGGTGGGATGTTGTCCGTTGGCCAAGCTATTGACACCGCAATCCGAAAAAGATGAAATGGGCTCCTCATTAAGTATCAACAGAGCAGTAATGGCTCATAACGAGCTCCTCCAGAAGACATTGGATGACTATAGGATAAAGCATGGAGCTGAGGTTACAATTTCATATACTGACTATTTCAAAGCATACAAAACGATCACGAGAAACCTTTCTGGCTTCTGGTTTTCCGATGGATCCCGAGCATGTTGTGGTGTCGGAGGTGGAATTCTCAACTGTAACTTGCACAACCTTTGTGGCATGGCCGGCACCACCGTGTGCGGAATCCCGGATAACCATGTTCAATGGGACGGATTTCATTTGAAGGTAGCAATGCATAAGGAAATAACTCGACTGTTCCTCCATGAAGGCTTCTGCAAACCATCCTTTTATGATATAATTAGTGGGCAAAGAAACTTACGTACATAGATGATCGTCCACTCTTTCATGGAGTTTGTCAATTAGTAAATTAAGATGTAATGTAATTAACACATGATTAAATCAATTAAAAAGTTGGATTAAAATTTAATTTTATAACCCAAAAATTCATTCTTGTGTTTCCAAATGTTTCATTTGGTACAAAAAAGACAGAAACTTTGCATATCTAAAGACAGTAAGCCTGTGATACAGTTGTTTACATTCTGAATATACAAACTTCGTTTTAAACGACAGTGCTATTACCATCATACCACATAGGCCATTAAGTTATCAACTGGTTGAGCTGCAAAATTATCTAGCAGATGGGACTACTAGGTTGCCATTTGAAAAATCGGGGCTTTCGGTTTCGAGAAAGCTTTCAAGTAAAGTTTTCCTGGAAGATTGACCCCTGGAACTACCACAAACTATATGTGCATTGCCTTCATCCCCTTTCTCTATTTTCAGTGCATCTTGTATAGCCAAAACGATTTCCTGCATCTTGGGGCGGGAGTATCCGCGTTGTTCAACGCATTGTATAGCCACTTCAGCAATCCTCCAGATTGACTCAATCTTGACATTTCCTACCAGAAATGGATCTACAATGCTTATTACATCACCTTTGCGTATTAAGGATCTTGCCTGCGAAAAAAGACAAGCGGCTTATATTTCAGTGCCTCAAGTAAATTAAGCACCCCGTATATTAATAAATGGATGAAAATTGAAGACAAATGTACCCAGTGAACAATGTTAAGTTCAGGACCAAAATCTTCTACTGATACTGGTTTTTTTGCGGAGATGAGTTCCAGAAGAACAACCCCGAAACTATACACATCACTCTTTTCTGTCAGTTGTTGACTTGCATAGTACCTGTTACAACATATAAATGATTGGCTAAGCACATGATTTTTTTCCAAAATAAATTGTTAATGAACGGTAATCCTATATAGCTTACTCGGGATCGAGGTAACCGACTGTTCCTCGTGCCACACTTGATATATGGGTTAAATCTTCCTCAGCTTGTCTGGAAAGTCCAAAATCGGACACTTTTGCTCTCATGTTATTGTCTAGAAGAATGTTGCTTGTTTTTATGTCTCGGTGAATTATACTCGGATTGCAGCCGGTGTGCAAGTATTCAAGGCCTACAGGACTCCAAATTTATGTTTATGCTTAGAAAAAAAATACCAAATACCAATGCATCAATTATTTAGAGCTTCAGTTACTAAACCTTTAGCTGCATCTTCTGCAATTCGTAAACGAGAAAGCCAATCCAATGGCTTCTGGTTGACTGAACCTGCCATCATGCGTCCATATATTCTTAATTCTTTTGACCACAATAAGATCCTGAAAAAAGAGAATGATGGAAAAAGACGTTTTGATTTCTTTGTAGAGAAGCTAACCATGTATGTGATCCCTCAAAGTTCCATTGTGCATATATTCGTAAACTATTATCCGTTGATGAGCTTCTTGACAGTACCAATTAGAGGAACCAAGTTTCTATGATGAATTCTTGATAAGAGGGCAACCTGTAAGCATGCTTCAGTCATCGTCGTATTTTACGTATTCCTCCCATAAAGCAATGAGAGCACTTGAGTTGAGGGGATTATGGGACACTACCTCAGTCACAAATTGCTTGTTCAAATGGCTAGATGAATCACCCATTGTCTTGACTGCAACCTCCTTTCCGTCTTTCATTTTACCATAGTAGACAGATCCAAAACTTCCTTCGCCAATCTTTTTGGTGAAATTGTTAGTTGCTTCTTCTAGATCAGAAAGTGAGATACAGTAAGCCACGCCTTCGTCCAGTAAACTCCCGGCCCGTACTATTGAACCTGCCGTTGATTGTTTTGTGTCAGGTTGCAGGGTACCTGATGAAAACAATAACGATTTATAGAAAATACTGAGGTCTGCACATTTATAAATGATAAACAATGAGTAATTAAAGTGCTCGCACCATTTTCATCGCATTTTCGGTGAGACATCTTCTTTCGGAAGTTGCGCAACAATATTAAACTTGCCAAGAAAAGAACTAATAAAACTGCCAGCACTCCGATTGAGGCTCCAAGTATCAACTTAAAACGCAGTTTTCTCTGTGTCTCGTTACGTAGTCCAGGATTACCTTCATAGCTACAACAGAAAGATATATATATATATAAATTTGCATTGTAGGATCACAAAGAGTTTTAAGGTGTAGTGCACTACAACGTACTCACTCGAAATTTATTTTCTTGCTTAGCAATGCTGCAGGAACTTCCCCAGAAAACAAGTTGTTCTGTATGTACCTGAAATATATAGATTACCCTAAACTATCTGCTTCTAATAGCATTTTTGTTATAAACAAAACATCTAATTCTGTTAAATGATCTGGAAATAGGAGATACAAAATTGAGATTTCTACTTACAACGCTTGTACGTTAGGCAAACGACCGAGGTACGAAGGTAGTGAACCATTAAGTTTATTGTTCTCCAGATGTCTGCAAGCACCGGAAAATGATGTGAGTTGGGACAAGCTCACGAGAGAACAAGCACCAAAGTGAAATGCCGATCCTGAATTTCTAAACAAAATTATTACATATATATACGTATTGCACATAGTGAAGAGCTTACACAATTTTCAGATTAATAAGGCTACTCATATCAGGTAATGGCCCTATTAAGGAGTTGGAGTCCAACCACCTACAGAAGATGGGAGCTTTTCAGTCGAAGGTAATCGGACAAATTCATGAAGATCAAATCCGAGATGTTGAAGAATAGGACTTACAACTCAATCAATCCCTCCATTAGATTAATCTCGGATGGAATTTGGCCCTTCAGAATCTGTCCTGACAGAGCACTGTTCATCAGGTTTAAAAAATCCATCAAATTCTATGAACAATAGAGCAACTGGTCTAAAAAGAACTTAAAAAGGTTGTTTTAATAATCAAAGGTAATGCAGTGAAGTGTGATGTAGTTATGAAATGAACAGGAACTTTACCAAGTTCGAATGCATTACATTTTATTTATTCTTGGTGGTGTTGTTGGACTGCAATTTACCCAGGTCCAGGGAGTAGGAACACAAGGATCACCTCCTTCATTTGCCCAAACGCTTCCGGCAGCCATATTCCGAATGGCATCGAGAGCAGTCACTAGCAAATCAAGAAAATGATGAGTTATTAGCTCACTGAATAAATCAAATTCTTTGAACGTACACGCTAATGTGCAATACGATCAAAAGTTAAATAAAATCAAAACACCCCAAGGCCATCTTACCATCTCGCCTGTCAGTTTTCACAGCAATCTTCTGGTATTTACTTATCTCAATTGCATTAAGGAGCGGTCCTCGAGTAGAATCATTGGTCTTGGAGAAAGTGAATGACAGAACAAAATCGAGCGTGACATTCATGTAACTCGGTTCATAAAGCGTGTAGCTCCCGTAGCCATTCTCAGCTATATTGACCACAGCATTGCTATAATCAGGGATGTAAGGCTCTCGCAATCTGAATTTCCGGGTTTCATTCGGAGCCAAGTCTTCAATTTCAGCAAAGTATGCATAGGCTCGAGCATTGGCAGGGAAGCCTTCGAGGTTCAATCTGTAGCTAAGATTTCCTTCGGTGCCAACAACAGCCGTTTGCATCACTTTAACAGGCGGATATTCTCTGGTTCTTATATCAACGTTCTTCGACGTCTTGATTCGTTCTGTTCCACGAGCCACTCCTACAAGAAAATTTTGCCTCCTATCGAGATCAGACTCCCAAAATCTGTCATATGGATCATCAGGGTACCTATAAATGCGAATTTGATTTTCATAAATCAACAAAGATATCCATCAAATGCCTTGCAAATGAAGCAAAACATCAACAGTTCTCAGATACATAGCGGATCATAATTTACCTCACTAAATCCTTAGTCAAAGCACCAAAGTTCACTCTAGCTGCCACATTCAAGAAGAAATCATTCTCAAAATCAGTGGCATACATGGAAAGATTCAAGGGACGAAGCTCGAGTGTCGAAATGAAGGGAAAACCAGTTGTTGCACAACATAAGCAAACATCAATGGAATCTGAAGGAGCCCTTATGATCATTTCATTCACATATGTTCTGGAGCCATCTTGAATTGTCACAGTCCCCCACAGGGTTGCATCTAAGTAGAGCTCGAATTTCGGGTATACATCGACATCTCCAGGGCTTACATACTGAAAAGTTGCACGAACAAGGTACCTTCTTCTCCCTGGTCCTCAAATTGTAACAATACTTCTTGTTGTCCAAAGGAAAGTCTCTTCGAGTTCGATACTGCACCGAGTTCCCGGTCGGGTTTTCGACCAACACTTGGTTCCCATGTTTCATGATACCCATGTCTGAACTCCATGAAAGCTCAGTACTTGGATCAGTGTAATCACTAGTGCTTCCGCAATCTATACTGATAAACTCTGCAAGCCACAATCAAAATCATGACGATTATAATACACAAAATTTTCATTTTAGCATCTTTTTTTTCTAAGATTTATTGCTTAATACTTGATTCATAAAACCATATTACATGATAAAAAAAACATACCTGAAACTTGGGATACAACAGAGGATATAAAGTAGAAATATAGTATAAACAACTGTGTAAATAAAGCCATTGAAGATCATCAACAAGGCAAAACTGATTCTTTCGGTAGACTAACAATTTTCCAGTAGATGAAAAAGGAAAATGTGGGTTTTTATTCAAAATCTAACCCATCTTTATTCCACTAACCTTCCACTTCCCCCCCTCCCTGATTGATGAGTTTATCAGTTTATGCAATGTACATTCATGTCTCTTTCTTTTTTATTTTCCTTTTCTTTTAGATTTTCCAATATCCTTTCCCAAGAGGCAAGAGTTACTTTTCAGGGGAAAAAAGCTAATTTATATTATAAAAAAAAGACTTGGGCTATCTCAAAATATGATTTTAAATTGGTCCCCCAATTTTAAAGTGTTTTATAACAATTTCAAAACTATAATTTTTATTTTAAATTTATCTTTAAAGTTTTAAAATATTCTATATTAATCC